ATGATCTACTCAGTTCCCTTCTGACCCTAGAAACTATGAACCTATGAGAAAGACATTGACAGTGCCCTCATCCCCCTCCTTGTCTGTATCAAGTTAAGGTGTTGATATTTTAGTGCATTGTGCCTCACAGTTGTGTAGCAAGGTTGTTTGTTCTTTCAGGGATTGGCTAGACAAGTACTTGTATAGGATGATTTAGAATAAATGATCCTATCTTGAGCAGGGTGGCTGACCTGGGTAACCTCCTGAGGTCTCTTCCAGCCCTACTTTCCTATGATTTTATGATATTACACTGCAGAATCAGAGCCCCAAAGTCAAGCATTCATTTTACACCTGTTTAACTAAACCGTTGTTTAAATCTGTTGGAGTCACAGTGGAGTTGACACCTAGCAGCTTGAAACATTTTTTTAGAAACAGTTAATTAAATCTTCTGAAAACCAATTCTAATCAAAATAATAGAGGGTTTCCCAGTCAGTGGAGCATTGTCTACACTTTACCTTTAGTCAGCTCTGCAGCAAATTGAAGTGTTTGGTATAAGCTCTGTTGAAATAATGCTGAAGTAGAGACTCTTTTGGACCAATCACTGAAGAAAACATTGTTAGAAAATATGGAGTGTGGTGTTTATTAAGCCAAATCTTACAAGACTTCAGGGATCAGGAAATTAAACTGACTTGAAGTAAAAGGAAAATCAAAGAGCTTGTTTTCCTTGTTGATGTATAAATAGGAGGGTCAGGCATGAGAAGGCAGTTAAGAGCTTTACCATTGTTTTGACTACCCACCGATGCACCGCTTTTTATAAGCTCTGTCTACACTGCAGGCTGCTGCTGGCAGAGTTGTGTTGGTCGGTGGCATGTAGAGATGGGGTCCCTGACCAGTGTAGTTTAGTGTAAATGCAGGTGAGGCAGCAGAAGTGCACTATTGCCAGTATAGCTTGCTTTGCATGTGCCAGGGAGATGGTTTTACTATTTCAATTCAAAATGTGGCCTTGCTAGTATAGTTGCATCCACAGGAGTGCTCTGTGGGTTGGAGTTTACCAGTACTCCTATCCCAGTTAAATACTTCTACTGGAGATGTGACCATAGTTGAAATGGGACAGTTGTCTTAGTGTAGGCACAGTTAAGCTTTGTGTACACTCGAAAGGGTTTGCCCAAAAATCCAGCCCAAGGGAACCTGCAAACTAGTCCTTGCAAGGCGTGTGCCAGGGAGGCTGGGAGGGGACAGGTTTCCAGCAGTTAAAGGGGTAAGGAAGGATTCCACCACTAAGTTCTTCACCCTGCTTCCTTTTCCCTGCTGGGGGCCCTCACTTGTCCATATGCAATTCAGGCTCCTCTACACTTACAAAACTTTGCCAGTATGTCCCCTCTCACACACAGCTCCCATCTGAGACACAGATTGTACCAAAAGAAGGGGTTCTTTTCCCAGTGTAATTTATATCGGTCCCATGTCTCAACTAAGCTATCCCAGCAAAAACATAGGCTTTTATCCCTTTCCTGGTAGAATTTCTGTCCATATTAGGGTTTTTCTTGGTAAAGCAATGAAAGTTGGGGGTGATTTTTTTTCCTGCTCCTACCCCATGTAGTTGTGCTGGCAATGTTTTTCAGTGTAGATCCGGCCCTAAATCCTTATCTTTGGTATTGCTATTCTCCCAGAGGAGGGGATGCACTCTCCTGGTCTATGGCACCTTCACATTGACATACTGGATCCACCCTAGAGTTTCTGCTGCTCTAACCATATCATTAACAAAAATGTACCATAACTGAACTAGCTATACACCATCATCTGGGTGTAGATTCAGTCTTATTTAGCCTCTAGTCTTATCTGCACTGTAGATGAAGATATGACCTGCAACTTAAGTGTCCCCTTCAGGCATGCTTTATCATTACATTAGTCATTTAACCCTGTTGCATGCATCACAGCTAACATGGATTGGGAAGCCTTAAGTGGAGCAGGGGAGTTAGCTTTGTACTCAACATTTCTGTTCCCTCTTGTCCTGGTCTTGTTAATCCCAACTTTGCCAGCCCCAGCAGTCTCACATCAGGACTCTCATTCCCCAAGCCATGGGAGTAACTTTAATAACAAGATTTTTCTTTTCCTGATGGGGCATTTCTTTACTTTGCCCTCTGGTTACTGAACCCCTCAGCCATGCTCAGGGCAGGTTTCTGAGCTTCCTTTGTAATCACACAGTCTAGCACCTTTCTTAAAGAAAATAAAAGCAGATTTTTCCAGTGATCATATGGCTCCAGGAACTGGTGTTTTACCAAAGACAGCAAATACTACATGGTGTATGTGAAGATCACAAATGGAGCACTACTGGCTTAGATCCATTTCTTTCAACCATATGGGGAGCCCCAGGGTAGATCAGCTGCTCCCAACAATGGATATAGGAGTTTGAAAAGGGAGATGCAGTCAAAGAGTGGGCTGGGTGTCATAGGTGCCTCTGCCTGCCTGCCTGCCCCACTCAGGGAGAGGGCCTGGGCATACCAGCTCTAACAGGATCTGGGTCTCTTGGGTCCCACAGGTGGCAGGAATGGATGAGGGGAATCAAAGGAGGATGCAACCATACCCTCACACCCCATCCCTGAGCTCCGCCTGTCTTACCAGTGTCATCCTGGTTTAGAACAAGGGAAGACTGAGATGAATGAGGCAGGTAACATCCTAGAGCTTCTTTTTTGTTGTTGGGGGAAGACTCAGGCAGACAATATTACATCAAGTTCCATTTGGGTCATGTTTGAAAGCTTTGCTTTGCAACTGTGAGAGCTAAAAAGTTCCACTTAAAGTTGAGGAGTTCCATTACCAAATATGCACACACACCAAATCGATATATGAATATGAGATAGATGTATATCACATGACTCCAAGAGCTGGGGCCCTGATCAAAGATACTGTTAGGTATAACATTTCCACTGAAATCCTACTGAATTATTAAACTCCCTTTGAAACCGTCCTGAAGCATCTGGAGCATATATATGTCTTAACCTGGTTCATGCATCATCTAATGTTGTGTAGTACAGACCTAAATGAAGAGGTTCATAAAATGTTGCAGTTACCTTTGGCCCATTTACGTTAAGGTTCCCAGTGTTTCCAACATCAGTGGAGCTGAACTGGTATTAGAGCTCATTGGACACTGCTTCCAGTGACCCTGGGATGCAAATCCATAATAATGGAATATGGCAGGCATGGTTGGTTGCTCTTTCTACAGTATAGTTTTCCAAGTTACAATAGCCTGCTCTTTGTTTAGATGTGCTAAATACAGACAAATCAAAATATTTCAGCCAGGGAGCAAAACTGAAATAAAATTAAATAATAATCCCCTTTTATTTTGTTTGCCATATTAGAAGCGTCTTGGATCCCTTGGCTTCATCACCGAGACGCAGAAAACCAAGAACAAGAAGGGAAAATTATATAACTGCCCAACAATTCCTGCATCAAACCCACCACTTCTGGTTGAGCTGGGCTGTGTCTTTTAAGTAAACCTCTCAACTTGCTGCACAGGAAATACATGCAAGTTTGCAGATGGTTATGGGTAGATGCACACTGTTTTTTGTAAATGAACGTGTGGGAGCCTGTACATGGGCATAAGCGAGAGTGTCTGGTTGTAAGAAAGATACACAGCTGTAGAGCTACTGCCACACAGAGAGAGCACAAGAGGTACAAAGAAAGGAAGAGAAAAGGAAGCTAAGTCATGGTTGCTTAGATCTTCTGCATCCGTCCCATTTAGGTATGATATAGATGGTGCCCAGAGGTGCCTGGGAAGGAAGTCACAGCAGCAGAGGCATGGTGGAAGCTATAGCCATCTCCTGTCTTTGTGCCAGTGTATTCCACAGTTCCAGGGAAGCCATGATAAAAGTCTACTTTGTGCTGGGCAATGAACCCCACTGTCTGTTGGACACTGCAGGCGCCCCCAGCTTTGCTGAAGACTCCCCCGTCATCGCTGGCTACAAATGCATATGAATTCTGGCTGGGCCCATAGTTCTGACGTGAAGTGCCCATCGCTTGGATGTTTCCAGCCGTGCTGACTGGGTAGCCCTGATGGAATTTGGGGTGCACTTCCAGGTAGCCATTGGAGTGGAACCCGTTCTGAAAGAGAGGGAAGGCAAGTCAAAACAAAGGGCAGCTTCCCTAGCACTCCCAGGACTGACCTGTAGCAGGACTATCAACTGTGATCCTTCAAGCTGTATTCTGGTCACCCTCTCTGGGCAGGAGGGGACAGCAAGAAATTTTCCCCTCCTTATTGCATAGCACTGGACAAAGAGGTGCCTTATAAGAGAAACAGGTCTCCTTCTGAACAACTAATCCAAGCCAGTGGCACAACAGTATCAGGACCTGGCTCCTCCTCATTCTGAGTCAGTAGCACAAGAAGAAACCCTACACCAGACATGCCATTGCTTCTTGCCACATGGTATTGTACTGGATGCAAGAGATTGAATTAGGTGCCATTTGCGCCTCCTGGTACGGCTGGAGACTTTGGACTGAATGAACAGAACAGCTGGGCTCAGAAAAGGTGGATCTATATTGTGCTGGAGCGTGGCAGAGGTAGAACACCCCATCTGATGGAGTACTGTTCTGTTCCAGGCCAGAAAGGGGTAAAGGGAGTCTGAATGAATATGCCACTAGGTTCATCCCTTGATGTTAGGTCCTTACCTGCATGAGACTCTGAGCTCGCTCTGCCCACAGGCCATGCTTCTGACATCTCTTCAGCTTCATCCTTCGGTTCTGGAACCAGGTTTTCACCTGCAGCCAAGGATCAGAGAGAGGGAGGTGAGGGCTCCAGGGATAAATGGTTGGGGCCTAGCCTATGGCATTTCTCACTGCCCAGTCAAACAGGTGGCAGTGAGCTGGGACTGAATGACAGAACACTCAAGGATCAAAGGAACAGAGCAGAAAGCCTCCAAGTGGGCAGGGGGCAGGGTGGGGGTATGGGTTGCTATGATCATTCAGGTTGCAACACCATAAGCAACTCCATAAGCAACACCATGCTTATGGTGTTGGGAACACTCTTTCCACTTCCAAGGGGACAGGTGTCTGCCTGATGCTCATTGCCATGCCCACTGCCAAGATAGAAATGGATGAATGTTGTCATTGACTGGCATGAGTCAAGCCCAGCTTGGTCTCTGTGATCCCAGCTGCTGACTAGCTTGAAGTCCCTCCTAATTTCAGGCAAGACTGAGCAGAAATCACATATCTGTAAGAGTGTTCGTATCAGTCCCTAAATTCCAGATCCCTGATAGGGATGAATTCCAGAGCCAACTGCCCCCTGGGATGCATCTGGAGTGCCAAGGAAACCATTGCACAGATGTTGATTGCAGGAAATAGCTGGTGTCTCGCCTATCCTGTTCCTGGCAGAACAGGTTTGGCTTGTATGGGTGTGTGCCTGTGCACGTAAAATTGGCTAATGGCTGTGGCTGTCCCAGTTCATGCTGGGACATTTGGGACACCTAGTCAGTAATGTCCAGCACTGTCCCTCATCCCTATCCAACCCCTTGGTGTGTTAGATCCAATGGAGAAGGAGTTGCTGGCAGATGGCAAGTGTAGGGTTTGTGGCTTCTCATCTGCTGGAGGAAGAGACCACTGCAGAGACTCCCATTCAGCTGGATCTGAGCGAAAGACATCCTCCTCCCAGGCATTGCTGCCTCCTGGTACCAGCCCTACTATCACCCGAACCTTTGAGGGTGCTGCGCATGGAGCTAGCAGCACCTGTACACTGCCTGATGTCAAGCCACTGCAAACACTAGACCTTTAAACATTTTTTTTGCCTAGTGGTGATAGACAGTGGTGATAGGACATGTTCAGCAGTGGGGAAAGATGGCTACAACTTCCCAGTTTCTGGCAGGTGCCACTGACTGCTCTTGGGGGAATAATCTCTAAATGAGTCCAAGCCAGGTTATTTAGGAACTTATGGCAACTCACTAATGCCTGGATCTGCACCCAGAAAAAGACCAAGAGGTCAGGACACAAAATGCAGGAACATCTGGTGACTCCCCTCACTGCTGACACACCCAGCCCCACAACCTTTTATCCCCAGGGGTGTTCCTTTTAATGAGGTTATACTATATTTTTTTTAAAATTGTAATTTTGGGGTCTTTCAAATGCGTTCATAGCTCTTCCTCTTAAACCAGGTGTGCTAAAAACTTTAAAAAAAATTAAAAATGAGATGCTCACAATGCTCACGTGACTCCAGGTGCTGGAGCTTTAAAAGCACCAGATATTGCCTGATTCACAGTATGCTTGTGAGAAGTGGCAACACAGGAGGCACCAAGGATTGACTACATTCTCCTGTTGCTTCTCCCCCCACCTCATGGTACCCTGACACACTTAAGATAAATCTGCGGTACTGACCTCCAGGTACTGTCAGCCAGTACCAGCCCCCTTACTCCGTGCCCATACCCACACCTCTTCTTTGTCTGCTGCTCATCTTTCCCTGTGAGAAGCATTCACCAATGATAAGACAGGTACCCTGTGAGGCAATGCCCTCAATGCTCACCTGCTTGTAAGTGAGCGCTAGTGTAGCAGCCAGCTCCCGAATCTGCTGGGGGCTGAGGTACTTCTGGCTCTGAAAGCGCTGGTGCAGGGTCTGCAGCTGCTCCTTGGAGAAGGCCGTACGGCTCTTGGCCTTTTTCACCTCTCCCGTACTTTTCTCCCCACCCTTCTGGGACTTGGGAGTAGGTTGTGGGGAAGGGGATCCTGCATGGGGGCTGGTGGCGGAGTCTGGTGCGAGCTGGCTGAAGTTCCCAGAGCCGGAGGAGGCAGGGGAGAGATCTAAAGACAAAAAAATATAAGGGAACATACACTGTAATTCACTGGGCCATGTGTGCCATCAGAACTGTTTCTCTATGTGGCTAACAGCACAGAGACATTTGCATTTAGCTTGAGGGCTTAAGAGGCTTTTTAAGGGAAAGGTTGTGGTATTGGTTTGTGCTGCCAAAGGCAAGCTGTGAGTGGATGGACAAGGGTGGATGATGCTGCCTTTTAACATCAAAGCTAGGCGAGCATTTTCAAGTGGTGATCTCAAAGTGCTCTGCAGATGGATGAGCAGCACTATTATTCTGTGACACAGGAGGAGGAGCTGGGGCAAAGAGAGGGGTGTGACATGATCACACAGCAAGTCCAGGCACCAGAATCTCAGGCTTGTCTTTTCAAGGCCTGCTACTGATGAGACACCCCACAGGGCTCTGATTTTCTGAGCACAAGTACTCAGAACTTTATGAAATGCAGATGCCTTCCATTCTGGTGCCCCAGCGCACAGGCACAAGGAATCCACAGCCATTTTTTGATAGTAAAGGCCCCAACTGCTTAGTTTGGACTCCTGCCATTCCTGCTGCCCCTTTGCAGTAATGACACCATTCTAGTCCCTCCTATCCATGGAAGTAAAAGAACTTTGCAAACTGCTGAATTGATCCTTGACTTGTGAGAGATATCAGTGTGATCACCGTGCGTAATACACGGGGCCCAAAGAAGCAGTGACAAGCAGAAGGACCCCATGAGACGGTCAGGCCTAACCCTAAATTGACTTACTTGAAGCAAGCTGCTCAAGCTGGCACTAGGCTTAGATGAGAAACAGAACAGAGTATTATGCTGATGGGAGTTTGGAGCAAGGGAAAAGGAGGAGAGAGATGGTGCAGAGCCCTCCACAAGAGAGATGGTTGACAGCTCTCTAAAAACACCCTGGAGGAAGTGTTCAAGGGAAGAGCAGGGGCTGAAAAATCCCCTTCCTGTTTGTCCGGGCCCACATCCCAAGGGAACCATGGGTTGAAGGACAAAGATGAGATTACAATCTCAAGGGAGAACTTCCTAAACTATCTACGCCACTAACCCAAACAAAAGCTCCTGACATGCAAAGTCACTGAGGCAGCCTGAACAGGAAAATATTAGCAAGTGTAATTACAAGGATAGCTGTCTCCTGGGTATCTGGTGTGTCTGCCAGTACCCAGCACTAAGGCTAGAAGTATCCAGTCTCTCTTTCACCTGCCTGACCAGGTGTGCTGAGACAAGTCCTTCCTTCTCCTGCTCCTCCACCACCCACCCACTCCCCGCCCTCTCAACTAATCTTTTTTTCCATATTTCTCCCTCTGCCCCCCAAAATCTGTGGCTGGATTTTAACCCCTGCCAATCACCATTCTGCCTACCAGTGAATTGGGAGGGAGAAGGGACAACATCCACTTGTGAGTAGTGCAGTTTTGGAGTTGGTAACAGAGCTTATCTTGTCCTTAACAACCCCCTACCTCCCAAGAACCTGAACCAAGGGGCAGGAGAGGAGAGGGCCATTTCTTCTCCAGCAGGTACCTCAACCATGACTACTTCCCCATATAACTCTCCTTTCCCACTGCGGGCACCTGGGTGCTGTCCCCACCCCCAGCTGAAGTGGAAGAAATCCCCGTGTTGGAGGAAAGGTCAAGTCAGATGAACCTCAGATGTGGGCCTTGTTCCCACCTGTGTCACAATGCTTCCTGCATGACCTTGGGTCTCCCCATGCACTGCTTCAAGGTCAGGCACCTACGATGTGAAGTTACTTGCCCTTCTGTAACTGCCACAAAGTGGGAAGGTTTTGAGCAGGATTAAGTCAGGGAGAGTTTAGGGGTAAAGACACAGGCGTTAGAGTCTGCCCAGCTGCTTTGGGAATGAGCACCACACGAAACCCCGTAACTAAGAGGTATGCAGCAGGCATCCATCTTCCTATCATGACTTCAGGAAGACCCCAGCACTCCCCACCAGCAATTCTGTCCCCATCTTGCCATTGCTACCATGGTTTCAGTCCCCTCACTGCTTCTGTTCTCTTTCCACTGAGCACACCACTTCCAACATGCCTCCCAGGCTTCTCTTTCTCTCCCTGGCTTCTCTCAATAAGAAAAAGTTTTGAAAACCTCTGTTCAAAGCAAGTGCATCCCCTCCACTTGATTTGCTTCTCGGGTACTGGCAACTCCTTATCCCTCAGAGCTGGCAATGTGAACTGTGGGCTGTAGCAGACAAGGAGAGAGGTGGGGCAGCTCTGCAGCAGTGGGGAGTTGGGTCAGATGGGCTGAAGAGGGGTTTGGGCTGCAGGGAGGTAGGTCCTGGCAGAGGTGTAGCAGGGCAGCCATCATGCATGGGACAGTGCTGACTCCTGTGCTGATGGCAATGGTGCTTTCAGCTGTTGCTGAAGTGGTAGCTATTTTTGTGCCCCTCC